GAACAGTGTTAACTCTGCTGTGTGACAGCCTTTCTGAGCCTCAGTTTACCTATCAGTAATGCGATGCAGGGATGATCATTGTTCCTACCTTGTAGGATTGCCCTGAGGATGAAGTGAGTTAGGGTCTCATCAAGTGCCTTGAGCATGAAGCAGATCCTCCTTGAGAATTATTGTCATGGTAATGGTGGTTGGGTGGGATGACTCAGGAATCCAGGCAGAGAAGAGAAGCAGCAGCTTGCTCCCAACCAAGACCTATCTGCCAAGTTGGCCAACACCCCATACATGGAGGACTCGTTTCCCTCCATTTCAGTTCCCTCTGGGATCACCTGCAGTGTACCCAGCCTCGGGGAGGGAGCAGGCCCTGCAGGGCAGAGGTGGGGCCAGGGCCAGTGGGGGCCTGCTGGCGGACATACTCATCTCCCTGCAGGGCTGTGGGACTGATGATGTCTACCATGTTCTACCCACTGATCACCTTTGTCCTCCTGTTCATCTGCATTGCCTACTGGGCCGTGATCACTCTGTATCCTTCGATCACACAGCCAGCCCTCCTGGGGTCTGTGGGGGCAGAGGCCAGAAAGGGCAGTAGCTGCACAGTGCCTTGGTGCAATGGGAGGATGGCACCCCTTCCTCTGGGCAGACACAGCCCCATCCCTAGACAGAGTTGGAAGAGGGAGCTCAGGCTGAATCCAGCCCCTTTGCACAGTGAACAACCTACATGAGGCCCTGGGAAGGGATTCCTGAAGAGGCAATCCCTAGAGGCCCCCATGTGACCATGCTTTCCTTGACTTCCTTTCGGATACCTGGCCACGTCAGGACAACCTCAGTACATCTTCTGGGCACCCAACGTCAGCTTAGCCAGCTGTGAGACAGTGCCATTGAATGCATCATGTGACCCCATGGTGAGGGGGTTGGGGGTAGGCCAGGAGGAGGCACCAACAGGTGTAAGGGGATCTCCACAAATGCCTCATCATGGAGTGGAGACTGAGGGTCAGAAAAGGCGAAGGGCTCACTCAAGGTCATACGACATGCCCCCAGCAGGGCCCAAAAGGAAGCCAGTCTGCTGGCTCCGCATCTAGTCATCCTGCCCCTGAGACAGGGAAGGACACCTGAGGCAGGAGGAAAAGGTATGCTGTGCTTGGCGCAGGGCCAGGCCTCAGGAAGCTGGGTACCAGAACTCTACCCTTCCCAGGACATTCTTCTTCCGGGAGGACCATGAGCAACCCCACCCAACCGGGTCTCAGTCCACCCATATGGAAAGTGGAGCTAATCCTGATACCACTCTGTCTAGGTGGCCAAGAAAATTAATTGATATTGGGCATATAAAGCTTTTAGTGCAATGACCAGCACCTGATAAGAGCTGATAACTATGGGTTTTGTTTAGTGTTTGTTTGTTTGTTTGAAATCTCCCTCCCTGGGAAAAGAGTGCCCTGGACAATAAGCAGGCAGGACACCTGGGGCGGGGGTCTGGAAGAGGGGCTGCTGGAGTCTCCCCTGAGAGGGTCCCAGGGACCTCTGGCTCTGGACCTCTGGGACTTTACTGTCCTCAAAGCTTTCATGTGGCCATCTGCTCTGGGCTGGGACCTGGCCCCTCTGAAACAGAAGAGGGAGGTTTGCTCACCTTCGCAAAGGGCTCACATGTGCCAGATCCTGGGTGTGCAAGGCCCCCAACGACCTGGTTCTTGCTTTCAACTTGCTCAGGATCTAGCATTGGAGACTGACACAAACCCACAGTTACATACAAATGGAAAGTGGTGTATTTTCTTATCAAATTTCAAACATATACTCAGTTTCAGCAATTACCAAGGTTGTCACATTTATTGGCAAGTGTTTTTTAAAATTTCTGTGCCTTTTTAGTTGTTATTTCAGAAACTTTCAAGCCACATACTAGGTAGAGAATTCCTGTACCCAGATTCCACACCTTCAACTTTCCTATTTTATCCATCTCTCCACTTGTATGGGCAATTTTTTTTCTAGAGTTCAACGCAAATTCTGGACATCATGCCATTTCCCTAGTAAATACATCAGGACAGATCTTAACAGATAAGGACTTTAAAAATATATAACCACTATAGCCATTATCAAACCCAACTAAATGAACAATAATTTTTTACTATCATTTGATATCCAGTCTTCAGTTTTGCTGGAAAGCGTTCCAGCTGGAGTTGCAGAGGCCGCCCTGGGAGGGCACTGCTAATTGAATGCCAAGCTCTCCTGAGCCAGGCTTTGGTCACATGGCTCCCCCCACACTATTAAGCTTTTGCCCACATGTCCTGGGACCTCCTGGGAGCTCTTGTGCCCACCCAGAGACAGAAAGAAGTGAATTATGCTCACACAATAGATAAGCTAAACCCAGTTTGAACCTGGAGATGAATTTCCTGAAAGAACCTGCTTCCCCAGCTGGGGGAGGCTGTTACTTCCTGCCCTCTACTCTGGGGGTGGCAGGAGCTGGCTGGGAATGAGCCTACTTTGTGTCCCCCAGGCTCAGCCCAAGAACTCCTCGTGCCCAGGGCTGATGTGTGTCTTCCAAGGCTACTTGTCCACAGGCCTGGTACAACGTTTTCTCTTCAACTTGCAAGTCTACGTGGTCCTGGGGCTATTCTGGACCCTCAACTGGGTCCTGGCCCTGGGCCAGTGTGTTCTAGCTGGGGCCTTTGCCTCCTTCTACTGGGCCTTCCACAAGCCCCGGGATATTCCCACCTTCCCTCTGAGCGCTGCCTTCATCCGCACACTACGGTAAGCCTGGGGCTGGGGGCTGGGAATTGTGAGCCTCTGAGTCCCAGGGATTTGGGGGCTACCTCTGACTGACTAATCCTCCTGTAGTTACCACACAGGGTCTCTGGCCTTTGGGGCCCTCATCCTGACCCTTGTGCAGATAGCCCGAGTCATCTTGGAGTATATTGATCACAAACTGAGAGGTGAGCCAAGGTCAGAGGCTTGGGGTGGCCCAGCTAAGCAGCCGGATCCTCAGGGAGAGGCTTTCAGGACCAGCGACCAAACCCAAGCCTCTGGTCCCCAGGAGCCCAGAACGCTATAGCCCGCTGCATCATGTGCTGCTTCAAGTGCTGCCTCTGGTGTCTGGAAAAGTTTATCAAGTTTCTGAACCGAAATGCATACATCATGGTGAGCCCCACTGCGCAAGCAGCCCTCTGCTTCAAGGCCCTTGGCCCCAAACCCCCCACCCTGGCCGTGATGAGTTTTCCAAGGTAACTCTCACCTTTCCACCCAGATTGCCATCTACGGGAAGAATTTCTGTGTCTCAGCCCAAAATGCCTTCATGCTACTCATGCGGAACATTGTCAGGTCAGGTTGTTCCCCCCGGCCCCACCCTGTGATCTCCCACACACAGCCAGCTTCGTGGGCATGCTGTGCTCAGAAGGGCCTTCAGCTTTCTTTAAGCTCTGCTGCCTCCATGTTGAAATGTGAACAATTTTCATTTTGCTTCTGTCACGGCAAATGATACAGCCCTGCCGGGATCCTCACCCCCCATGTGCTCCAACTCTCCATGCAGGGTGGTTGTCCTGGACAAAGTCACAGACCTGCTGCTGCTCTTCGGGAAGCTGCTGGTGGTGGGCAGTGTTGGTAAGGACCAGGACAGGAGTTACAAGGACAAAGAGCGGGGGTGCTGGGAAGCTAAAGAGGTGATCTTAGAAGAGTGACACTGACCTCTCCCACAGGTGTCCTGTCCTTCTTTTTTTTCACTGGTCGCATCCCTGGGCTGGGTAAAGACTTTGAGAGTCCCCACCTCAACTATTACTGGTTGCCCATCATGGTGAGTGACTCCTCAACTCTGCCTCATCCCCTAATTCACCAAAGAAACCCTAACAGGCCTGTGTCTTCCAGACCTCCATCCTGGGGGCCTACGTCATTGCCAGCGGCTTCTTCAGCGTTTTTGGCATGTGTGTGGACACGCTCTTCCTCTGTTTCTGTGAGTGACTCCCCCACCACCTCCCCCCAACTTCAAGGTAGAGGCTATTCGGGGTTTTTTGAAGAGTTGGTTTCTAGACACAGCAGCTTTGTGAGTTAAAGGAGCCAGAGCCAGAGGGAGCCTCTCCTGACATCCTCAGGCCAGGTGTTTGGAGGCTGAAGGGGAAAGTGAGCTCCCAGGCTGGTGGGATAGTGAGTTATTTCAAGAAAGAGCATTTTAGGGGAAAGCCTTCCAGTATAATCTCCCAGGAAACCTTGGGTAGAAGTGTAGGCTTCCCAGTAGGTGGCTGTAGTGAGCAGTGTTTTCTTACCCTACTGTATACATCCATTCAGACTTTAGTGAGTACCAGGCTCTACGCTAAGCAGTAGGCATTCGAGATTTTGGTTTGGTTTGGTTTTTGTCCCGTGCCCCCACCCACCACCCCCACGCTTCACCCCGTTAACCCTTACAAGCTGTGAAATGTACTATTATTGACCCCACTTTGCAATGAGTAAACTGAGATTACACAAACTACTTGTAGTGCAGCATGGAAACCAGGCAGCTGGTCACTTAGTCCCGGGTTTTTCCGGGAGTGAGGAGGTCCCAGGGTCCCGTCTAACTGGTCTTTGTTGCGGCTCAGTGGAAGACTTAGAGCGGAACGACGGCTCCCTCATCCGCCCCTACTACATGTCCAAGGCCCTTCTGAAGATTTTAGGCAAGAAGAACGATGCGCCCCCAGGGAAGAGCAAGAAGTGAGAGCCGCAGCCTTAAACCAGGACTGCACCCTGCTTATACAGCCTCCCAGCCTCATCCCCCTTTCAGGTCTTGGTTTTGTTGTAAAAAGACTTCATTAAAGATTGACATTTTACTTCCTCAATAGTGAGACCCTTTCCTCCCGACAGGGCACATTAAAATAGGCCGCGTCCCCGTGACTTACCCCAGCTGCTGTGACCAATCAAAAGGCTCCTGAGGAGTTATACCCGGCTTTTCCTGATCCCAGCCAATTGGTTTCTCGGCCGAGTCACGCGCTCCGGGATTTCAACGGGGGCCAATGGGAGAGCTAGTTAGAGGCGCTGAGGGTCACTATAGGCAGTCGGAGTGTTCCGGAGGCCAATTAGAGTCCCGGAAGTGCAGCGGCACGGCAGGGTGAGAGGCGTGTTTGATGACAGCTGATTGTTTAAAGGGCGGGGGTCAACTACTGACTCCAGCCCTGGTTTAGTCCTGTGGGCCAAGGTCGCTGTCACCGCGGAGGAGAAATGACAGAGAAACGACCCGGCACAGTGCTGCTTGGCGGACCCGGGGGACCACGGGTGCTGGGGTTCGGGGAAGTCTGTAGGATACAGGTATTTGCCGCGATCTTCCCGCTGCTGTTGTCTGCGGCTGTATTCCGGGCTAGGGCAGAGAACGACTTCCGTCTGGTGAGTCACGAGAGCGATCTATTCCCGGTGCGTGCCCTGGCACGCGGACTGCTGAGCCCTCTTCTCGAGATTCTTTGATCCCGTTCCTTCCATCCACTCCCAGCCCGTCTCCGTCTTCAGCCCCTTGTCCTACTCCTCATTCGAGTTCCTTCCTTTTTCCAGGTTCCCTATTCTTTCTGAGGGCACCTTCTCCGCTCGCAGTCCCATTTCGCTCCAAGCCCCTAGCTTCCCTCCAAACCTTCCTCTGGGTTCCCCTTCCTTGTTCAAGGACTCCCGCCCCCCAAGTCAAGATCCCCGTCGCCCTGCCTCTCCCAGCGGAACTTGACACAGAGCCGCTGTTCATCCCTAAAACCCCAACTCAAGTGTGTCCCGTTGACCCTTCTCCCTTCGTAGGTTCAGCCGCTGGTGACCATGGAACAGTTGCTGTGGGTGAGTGGGAGGCAGATCGGCTCTGTGGACACTTTCCGAATCCCGCTCATCACAGCCACTCCTCAGGGCACTCTCCTTGCCTTTGCTGAAGCCAGAAAAATGTCCACGTCCGATGAGGGGGCCAAGTTCATCGCTCTGCGGAGGTCCATAGACCAGGGTATAAAGATGCCTGGGCCACAAGAGCCGGTGCTAGGTTGGGTGAGGTGGGCAGGAGGAACCAGCCTGACCTGCCTAAGGGCCCTTGGGATGGGGTACCTTAGAGGGGGAACCCAAGGAGAGAAGGTGACCAGGGCAGTGACATGGAAGTTGGGGTCACCAAGGAGTTGAACATTTATTCAAACATTTACCGAGCACTTAACTATATACCTGGCACTGTTGTATCGTAGGTTCTGTGAATATGGTTATGAACAAAAGAGCAAAAATCCCTGCCCTCTCAGGGTTTACATTCTATTAGTGAGAAACAGACAGTAAGCATAACAAATAAGTACATATATTTTTTGTGTTGGAAGGTGATCAATGCAATGACGAGACATAAAACAGAACAGGGGTATGGGGAGTGCCAGAGTTTGACTGCAGTTTTCAGTAGGTGACATTTGAGCAAAGATTCACAGGAGTGGCACAGTTAGCCTTTAGGAAGGGTGTACCAGACAACATGTGCAAAGGCCTTGAGGAGCGAGGTGTTTGAGGAGTAGGGGGGAGCTTGTGTGGCTGGATGGAGTGAGGGTAGAATAGTTAAAATCAAAGGCGTAAGGTCTTGGAGGCCTCAGGGCCATTGTAAGGCCTCGGGTCCCTAGCAGGAGGTAAAGGTTACAGGGAGTGGTAAAAAAGGCATCTCCAGTGTGCTCACCCTGGGTTTCTTCCCTTTTTTCTTTAGGCAGCACGTGGTCTCCTACAGCATTCATTGTGGATGATGGGGAGACCCCAGATGGTCTGAACCTGGGAGCGGTGGTGAGCGATACTGAAACAGGAGTGGTATTCCTTTTTTACTCCCTATGTGCTCACAAGGCTGGCTGCCAGGTGGCCTCCACCATGTTGCTATGGAGCAAAGATGATGGTGTTTCCTGGAGCCCGCCCCGGAACCTCTCCTTGGATATCGGCACTGAGATGTTTGCCCCTGGACCTGGCTCTGGCATTCAGGTCTCTGTCCTGAGATAGGTAGAGGGGGCTGCCTGGTGGAGAGCCTTGGAGATGCCCCAAAATGGACCTCTCCCAAGGAGAAGATCCTGTGAAGTCAGAGTTTCCCTCTTAGGTGGGGTCCCTCAGAAAATAGGGACATCCTGGGAGCAAAGGGAAGATGGAGCTTCCCACTTGGTGGTTGTCAACAGGGCTGCGTATTAGGGGGAAAAAAAACAACAAACCCTTCCTTTGGGCAGACACAAGTCTGTGCCATGGTGCACAACTTGGTGAGTGAGCACACCAAGTGTGAGAGTAAGCTCCCCTCTACCACCGTGGCTGGGCCCCCTTGTCCTGTGCACAAACTGTCCTGCATAGGTCCTGGATGTCCTGAAGGAGCTTATTCTGCAAAAGAGCTTAATTCAGGCAATGGCTGCTTGTGGGATCTCTGTCAGACCCTCAGCAAGCAAGCACAGAACTGAAGGGGACCATATATGTCCTCGCACTTAGGAGGGGGTGGGTTCCCCTTCCCTGCTCTGAGCCTCCCTCAGCATCTCCCTCTGTGACACTCAGCTTCCTTTCCCACAGAAACAATGGGAGCCACGGAAAGGTCGGCTTATCGTGTGTGGTCATGGGACGCTGGAGCGGGATGGGGTCTTCTGCCTCCTCAGTGATGACCACGGTGCTTCCTGGCGCTATGGCAGTGGGGTCAGCGGCATTCCCTATGGCCAGCCTAAGCGAGAAAATGATTTCAACCCTGATGAGTGCCAGGTCAGAGTCCGTGGGCTGTTTCCCACACACCCCACCTGCCCTCTCCACCAGAGCACCATTTCACTCACAGAGCCAGAGTCTGGCTTCCAGTTTTGTGCCACCAGCCTTACTCCCTCAGGGACAGGGCCCTTTGCCACGGCCCCCCCTGAAACTTTGTTCTCTCTCAGCCCTATGAGCTCCCAGATGGGTCAGTTGTCATCAACGCCCGGAACCAGAATAACTACCACTGCCACTGCCGAATTGTCCTCCGCAGTTACGATGCCTGTGATACACTGAGGCCCCGTGATGTGACCTTTGACCCTGAGCTTGTGGACCCTGTGGTTGCTGCAGGAGCTGTAGTCATCAGCTCTGGCATTGTGTTCTTCTCCAACCCAGCCCATCCAGAGTTCCGTGAGTGTCTGCCAGGGTGGGTGGGCAGGGATCGTGTTGTCTAGAGAAGGCCTGGGCAGAGACCCTCCTTTCCTGACTCTGCTGCTGTTCCCAGGAGTGAACTTGACCCTGCGCTGGAGTTTTAGCAATGGTACCTCATGGAGAAAAGAGACAGTCCAGCTCTGGCCAGGGCCTAGTGGCTACTCATCGCTGGCAGCCCTGGAGGGCAGTGTGGGCGGGAAGGACCAGGCCCCCCAGCTCTTCGTCCTGTATGAGAAAGGCCGGAACCACTACACAGAAAGCATCTCCTTGGCCAAAGTCAGCGTGTATGGGACACTCTGAGTTGTATACCTGCCATAAGGGTAGAAAGCCCTGGACTCAGTCTTCAGGATGATGGGCATATAGAGAGTCTGCTGGATATGCCTAAAAGACAGTTACACCTGCCTTTAGCTCTAGCCTTTTGCAAAATCCGCTTTTCTCTGACAGGGAAATCACTCTGTCAGGACTAAAAGCCTGGCTGTTTCTCCCACACAGGAAGTCCTACCCCCACCCGGGAGTGCTTTCCATATTGCCAGGTCTGGCCCCCTACACTTTTTGCCCTCTCAAGATAATGATTGGTCCTTTCTTTGGGCAGGGCTAGGTGGGCCTATAGAATTGAATAAATGTGAACTTGAAATTGGGGAAAGCTGAGCTTCCTCTTTGAGGTAAGATACTAGTTTTGGAGAGGGTTGGTGAAGGGCCTGGGAGGGCATGGTGTTTCCTCTCAGGTTAAAGGACTAGATGCACCACGGGCCTTGACTATTTATGGATCAGAATGTAACACAACATCTTTAATGAAGGTAAATGAACAGGTTGTAGAGTCTGTGGTTCGGTCAATGCCCGTCTGCATGTCTGTGTTCCTTATGTACACAGTGGAGCTGGGAATGAGCTCTGGGGAAGATGCTGTTGTTCTGTGGCCTATGAACATCTGACTTTGGCAAATCAAACCCTCTTTTTTCTTTCACATTCTTTCTTATCGCTGAAAACCAGATTGACCTTCACAGCTATAAATGCACAGTCAGAGGGGAACCCCACGAGGTATTTGAAACCTGCTCTGTTTTGTATCTCTAAGATGAGTGGGTGCTGTCCTCCATGAGGCAGGGAGCAGCTGTATACAGTTCAGATGGCAAGCCTCTCCCAGGCCAGCCTGGCAGAGAATAAACACTGGGACAAATTATGGGAGAAAATAGCATCTTCATTCTACAGCAGATGCTGGGAAAAGAACCTCGCGGCTACAGGTGAGTGGGAGAACCACAGCATTCCTCCTGATGGAAGGAAAGTACAACACCTGGACAACATGGTAAGAATGTCTCCCACATTAAAGGGGTGGGGGCCATATTCATTTGCAGTTAGAAATTTGTTTCACTTGCAGCTGCTTCTCTAGTGAATGTGAGGATCATTTATCCTGTCTGATAGAAGTGGAATAATACCACCGTGTAAAGACATGCTGTAATTTTGTTATATTTTATCTAGAATTTGTGACCAATAATGTAAAACTTCAATTTTTTAATTTATAGACATTTTCAAAAGCTCTCAAAAGTAAACAGCCTCGGGGAGGGTTAGCAACAGGGGAGTGGGAGGAGGAGAAGGGGGAGAAGATGCAGAAAATGAGTAGCATGGACGGTAGATAGAAAATGGATGGGGGGGCAAGAATAGTGTGGGAAATACAGAATCTAAGGAGCTTGAGACACATGGTCATAAACTAAAGGGGGGGTAATGGTGGGGACGAGGGGTAGGGTGGAGGGGAATGAAGGGGGGGATAGAACAACTGTAACAGCATAATCAATAAAAAATAAATTAAAAAAAAAGTAAACAGCTTAACAAGCCCCATGTACTAAACATCCATCTAGTTTCAACAGTTATTAAGATAATTGCCACATTGCCACTTCTGATCCTTTTTTGTGCCTTTCCCTTACTGAAGCATTTCATTTCATTTCATAAAGATGTTATTTATTAGCCCTGGCCAATAAATAAAGTCTTAATAATTTTATTAAGTGGCTCAGTTGGTTGGAACATTGTCCCATAGACCAAAAAGTCTGCAAGTTCAATTCCCTGTCAGGGCACATACATAGTTTGTGGGCTCAGTCCCCAGTCAGGCATGTACAGGAGGCAACTGATCAATGTTTCTCTCTCTCCCTGTCTCTTAAAACCATAAACATATTCTCAGGTGAACATTCTAAATAAATAAATAAAATTGACATTTAAAAATATATATATTTTATTTATTTTTAGGGAGAGAGAAAGAAAGGGAAAGAAACTTCAGTGTGTGAGAGAAACATCAATTGGTTGCCTCTCACAGGCTTCCAACCGGGGACCTGGCCTGCAACCCAGGCACATCTCCTGGTGGGGAATCGAACCAGTAACTTTTCTGTTTGTAGTCTGGTGCTCAACCCACTGAACCACACCAGCCAGTGCCTGAGGTATTTTGAAGCAAATTCCAGACCTCATGACATTCACCTCTTCATTCTTAAGTATACATCTCATTCTTTAAAATGTAACATTTATTATATAACCATAATACCATTGTGTACCAAAACATGAATGACAATACTATGGTGTCATCCAATAACCAGTCATGTTCAAATTTCATTGTCTCAAAAATGTCTTATTTGTTGTTAATTTGTTCAAATCAAGATCCAAAGAAAATCTTTACATTGCATTTTGATGTCTCATAAATTTAACCTATAGTAATCCCACCTTCTCTTCTTTTTTATTACCATCTGCACAAATATAGGGTCATTTCTCCTGTAATGGTTCCACTCTCTGGATTCATCAGTTGCCTCCTCAGAATGTCACTTAACTTCTTCCTCCATCTCTTGTATTTCCAGTTATCAAACCTGGAGTTTTTATTGGATTCAGATTCCAATTGGGGGAGTTTGGGGGGGGGCAAGACTCCATCCTAGGCGCTATGTGCTTCCTATTCTGCCCCCCACAGGAGGCAAGTACTGCGGGCTCCACCCTCTCTGAGAAAAAAACTGCATTTGGTGGGCTGCCATGGGTTCAGATAGTCACAGCCTGACCCTCCTCTTTAATGATCCCCCATCACCCTTCCTCTGACAAGTTCATCCACAGATGAGTTTTGCCTGAATCGGTTATTTCATAATGGATTGTGAAATGTTGATTTTTTAATTCTATTATTATTTTCCTCATTTGTTAGCCAGAATTCTTTGGTGAAAAAACAGCTTTCCCTCATCAAGGCTCTTGGTCTTAAAGCATGGTCTGGATGGGAAGAGCTAGATAAATGCTGAATGCCCCTCTTTAATTGCCTGCTCTTTGAGTGAGCATGTAATACTTTGCCCTAGCCAGTAAACCACATTGCTACCACACAGGAGACACATTGGAGGCAACCTGCAGGCCTGCAGGAGGAAGCAGGGGGCATTAAGAACAGAAGAAACGGGCAGCTTGTGCTTGTGGGGTCTGCTTTTCTAAAACAGTTCATGAAATAGATATGATGCAAGGAAGAGTGGTGGGGTGGCATCTGTAGCAACTGGGAATCTGCTAACACCACTCAAAACTGCACGTCTGACAGTCTTCCTGACAGTATTATTTTTAGGGTAGTCAACAACGTGGACTGAAAAAATTCACGAAGAAAAGAAAATGCAGAGAGCAAAGGTTTTGTTCACTTTTCGAGAGTAAACAGGGATATGGTATGGAGAGATACACCAGCACTGAGGGGTGAGGACTTTGAGCTTTTATTGGATTTCGATTGGATTATAAAAGGGTTGGGGAGTTGCTATTATGTGGCCACTGGGCTGTTGTGGACATTGCAACACAGAAGGTTTTAGGTGGTTTTGCATAAGACGCAGTTTGTTCCAGTGTTATCTTCAGCCTGTGGTGTGGCAAGTGGTTAGTTACTATCTGTTCTTGCTTTCCAGTAATTTCCAGTCCTGCAAACATAAGCTCAGGAGGAGTAAAATGGAGTAAAATTGTTCCACTGAAACAATTTATCTCCCTAAAATCACCCTCGTGTTATCAAAGAGACTGCATTAAGTTCAGTTTCAATTTGGCCAGATTATTTTCAAGAACACAAGAATAGCAGTCATGTTTAACAAGGTCATAGGCCTGCTCGCTGTGTTTATCCTTTCTTTCCCCCTTTGGGTTTTAAAATGGATTTATTCTTAATGACCTGGCTCAGTTCTAGTTAGGGAGTAGAGGTGAAGGTCTCTCTGTGACTACTTCAGGCAGGTTAGGACTATAGAGCTGTCCCTGCCAGGGACAGAGCTGTCCCTTGTCAGGGAATAGGTAATTAAGGGGAAGAGGGCAGAATTTGACAGCCCAAAATGAGAACTGTGGCTGGAAGCCATTTGGGAAGAGAATTTCCTAGAGTCTGGGAAATTTGTTGAGTTAAGGATATGAGATATTTGAGAAGACGTGGCCTAAAAACAATCTAAAAAGGCTGTTGGTGGGATTGCAGACTGGTACAACCACTATGGAAAACAGTATGGAATTTTCTAAGAAAACTAAAAATGAATCTGCCTTTTGACCCAGCAATTCCACTGCTGGGATTATATCCTAAGAACCCTGAAACACCAATCCAAAAGAACCTATGCAAGACTTGGAAGCAACCTAGGTGCCCATCAGTAAATGAATGGATCAAAAAACTATGGTACATTTACACAATGGATTTCTATGCAGCAGAAAGAAAGAAGGAGCTCCTACCCTTTGCAACAGCATGGATGGAACTGGAAAGCATTATGCTGAGTGAAATAAGCCAGGTGGTGAAAGATAAATACCATATGATCTCACCTTTAACAGGAACTTAAACAACAAAACAAACAAGCAAAATATAACCAAAGACACTGAAATATAGAACAGGCTGACAGGGACCAGAGGGAAGAGGGGAGGGAATTTCAGGGGGAAAGGGGAAGGATTCACAGGAACAAGTATAAAGGACACATGGACAAAAACTAACAGGGGTGAAATTGGGAGGGAGGTGAGGAGCACGGGGGTGGGGCAGGGAGGGGACTGGGATGGGATGGGAGTAAAAGATAGAAACTGTACTTCAGCAATAATTAAATAATTTTTTTAAAGTTTAAAGGGCTGCTATAGGTCCTAGGAAGGGAGTTAGCCAGGAAAACTGGGACCACATCTCTTTAAAATCCCAAAAAGGGAGAGACAGAGTAGCAGGTAAATTCTGTGACTGACACTGCATTGATAGTCAATAATTCCAAGTCAAAAGATGAAAGGAAAAAATGGAACATTAGCTTGGAAAAAAACTAGAAAAATTAAGACCTGGCTGATGTAGCTCAGTGGATTGAGCATGGGCCTGTGAGGCAAAGGATCACTGGTTCAATTCCCAGTCAGGGCACATGCCTGGGTTGTAGGCCAGGTCTCCAATAGGGAACACATGAGAGGCAATCACACACTGATGTTTCTCTCCCACTCTCCTTCCCTTCCCCTCTAAATAAATAAAATTTTTTTAAGCCTTGGGAAAAGGATTCATTTCAGTTTGTGGGTGGCAACTGGACATTGCAACTTCCACTGAAACAATTTATCTCCCTAAAATCACCCTCGTGTTATCAAAGAGACTGCATTAAGTTCAGTTTCAATTTGGCCAGATTATTTTCAAGAACACAAGAATAGTAATTGACTATATAGACTTTTAAATCTGCTTTGATGGAATTTCACAAGGAACCTTCCGATTGAGTTTTAGTCCTTCAGGGCACAGAAGCCAAGCCACGTACTTGCTATATGGCTTTACCTACAGTACCTACAGGTTTGAGTGGATTCTTCATATTCTTGAGGTCCCCAAAATGTCTTTAGATTTCCTTCTTGCCATCTTTCAGGAAAGCAACATTCATACCTTACCTGGAAAGACTGCCCTGAACCACCTGACCAAGCAAGGTACCAGGCCATTTCTCCAAGGGCCTTTTAACTGACTTCAAAGTCAATCTTAATTCCTTATGACTTTCTGATGACATCCAGAGTTCAGGCAAGACACCTTTCATGACATTCCAGACAAAGTCTGAGTTAGTAAAATCACATTTGGAAACTGGTGCTATTATAAAAAGAACAGATTGTTACTGGGTTTATGCAAACACATTGCCATGAAAATAATACTCATTAAGAATTGCTGAGTTCTCACCCTGGCTGGTGTGGTTTAGTGAATTGAGTGCCAGCCTGAGAATCAAAGTGTCACTAGTTTGATTCCCACTCTAGGGCACATGCTTGGGTCACAGGCCCAGTGCGAGGAGGGGGGTGTATAAATGTTTCAGTACTACTTAGGAGGGTATAATTTACTAATTGTTTTAGGGGGAAAACAAGTTTCCTTATACCTGGAAAACAAAAAGATTTAAAGTTAGCAATATTTTTAGCAAAGCCATAAGTATAACAACTATCTTCAGTTCATTTAGTCCCATATAACCAATTTTGTTTGTCTTGACTATTTGCAAGTATTTCCATGAATCTAGTTATTCCTTAGATACCTGTAATTTAGAGTAAGTTGAGTAAGTCATACTCTAAACCTTACTCTAAAAGTTTAGAGTAAGAAATCTAAACCTTTGTATAGGTTTCATGAACCTATCCAAAGATATATTTGCAAATGCATTAGAATAAAAACAGTAATTATAAATGACAAAATTTAAAATGACGTGGTTGTAGATTCGATTAAAATTTAATTTATTAAGAAATTTGCGACTTCCGCCAAGATGGAGACGTAGGTGGAGGAACCACCTTGCCTCTGTGCACAACCAAATCTAAGAACAACTATTTTTCACAACAATCACAACCAAGCCACACAGAAAATCGAAAATACAGAGTCCAAAGACAACTAAATACTCAGCTAAACCGGTAAGAGAAGCGAAACCAGCAGCGGAGCAGGTTGGCAAGAAAAAATCCCCGAACAGGTGGTGCGCGGCACTGATCGCGGGCTGGCTACCGGAGCGCACAGGAAAGAGGCGGGGGGGGGGGGGGGGGGGGGCCCAGTCTCGGTCGGTCGCGTGCATCTGCGTGCGCGGAGAAACCAGTGAGAAGGGAAGCCTGCACGGGGCAGCAGGCTCGCACAATTCCGATCGGATAAACAAGCCCAGGGTAAGTAGTGTGACTGGACGGGCTGGGCTAGCGGAGAGGACCGCCATTGCTCCCTCTCTGACCCCACCCCCACATATAGCGTCACCAACCAGCGACCTGGGTTGCCCCGTCCTGGTAAACAACTAAGGCTTTGTTCCGATTACTTAACGGCATGAATAGACCAAAAATGGCTCTAGGACAACTCAGAGCCCCAGAACCCATAGATCTAAGCGATGAAGAAATAGCCAGTCTTTCAGATGCACAGTTCAAAACACTGGTTATCAGGATCCTTACAGAACTGGTTGATTTTAGTCACAAATTAGAGAAACATATGGAAGCTAAACTAATTGAAATGAATGGTAATACAAAGGAAACCAATAGTAATGAAAAGAAAATTGGGACTCAAATCAAGGGAGTGGACCACAAGGAAGGAAAAAATGATCAAACAGAAAAGAATGAAGAAATAAGAATTCAGAAAAATGAGGAAAAGCTTAGGAACCTCCAGGACATCTTTAAACGTTCCAACATCCGAATTATAGGGGTACCAGAAGGGGGAAAGGCACAGCCACCAGTGGAAAACTTATTTGAACAAATAATAAAGGAGAATTTCCCCAATCTGGCAAAGGAAATAGACTTTCGGAAATCCAGGAAGCTCAGAGAGTACCAAAGAAGTTGGACCCAAGAAGGAACACACCAAGGCACATCATCATTACATTAGCCAAGATTCAAATGAAGGAGAGAATCCTAGAAGCAGCAAGAGCTAAGGGGACAGTCACCTACAAAGGAGTCCCCATCAGACTGTCAGCAGATTTCTCAAAAGAGACCTTACAGGCAAGAAGGGGCTGGAAAGAGGTATTCCAAGTCATGAAATCCAAAGACCTACAACCAAGATTGCTCTATCCAGCAAAACTTTCATTTAGAATGGAAGGACAGATAAAGTGCTTCTCAGATAAGACCAAATTCAAGGAGTTCATCATCACCAAGCCCTTATTATATGAAATGTTAAAGGGACTTACCTAAGAAAAAGAAGATAAAAAAAAGATGAACAGTGAAAGGACAGCGAACTCACAGTTACTAACAACCACACCTAAAACAAAAGCAAACTAAGAGGACAGCTAGATCAGGAGCAGAACCATAGAAATGAAGATCTCATGGAGGGTTAGCAACAGGGGAGTGGGAGGAGGAGAAGGGGGGAGAAGTTACAGAAAATAAGTAGCATAGACAGTAGATAGAAAATAGATAGGGGGGAGGGAAAGATTAGTAGGGGAAATACAGAATCTAAAGAATTTGAGACACATGTTCATGAACTAAAGAGGGAAATGGTGGGGGAGGGGCATGCAGGGTAGAGGGGAATGGAGGGGGGGAATAGAGCAAATGTAATGGCATAATCAATAAAAAAAAGAAAAGAAAAGAAATTTGCTTCTGGACTTATGGCCAAGATAGAGGCATAGGTAGACACACTGTGCCTCTTCGCACAACCAAAATAAGGACAACAATTTAAAAACAAAAAACTACCAGTACTGACAGAAAATTTAACTGTATGGAAGTCCAACAACCAAGGAGTTAAAGTAGACACATTCATCCAGACTGGTGAGAGGGGCAGAGTTGGGGAGCCAGGACAAAGAGGGCTCGCTGCAGGGTAGCTGGTGGACCCAGCATGGCAGAGGATTGTAGAGGGGCGTGGCACATCTGGTCCCACATTCCTGTGCAGATGAACCAGGTGAAACTGGGGAGTGAGACAGACCATGCAACCCAGGGTCCCAGTGTGAGGAAATAAAGCCTCAAAACACCTGTGGGGGGGGGGGTGCGTTGCCTGGAGAAACTCCCAGCTTCACAGGAGAGTTTGTGGGAGAGACCAACAGGATCCCAGGATGTACACAAACCCACCCACACAGGAGTCAGAAG